GGGCCCGCCCCCCCCCCCGCCACAGGCGACTGCGGACCGCTTTCTGTATCTGGAGGGAGCACACCCGAGGGCTCAGAACGGAGTGAGTGGCCACTTCTGCCTCAGAGGTTCTCTCCTCCCAGGCCAGCTTCAATATGGCAGCAGTACCACCAGCTCCAAATGCCCAGCCAGGGGGTGGTGGAAGCCTGCACACTACTTGTAAGTTCCAGAAAGTCAGCCTCAAACCATCAAGTAAAAGGAGGGCTGTGGTGACAGGTTTGGGGGTACTCCAAAAAGCTCCCAGCCTCAGGAGCTCCACTCTGGAGCTGGGGGCCCTACCTATTGGCTATATCCCACTCACTGAATGGGGCCCATTCAAAGTGACCCTAGCTGGGAATAGACCAAAGGGCCCATTTGGGGATTGCTGACCCACCCGGGACCAGCAAGAGGGGCGAGCAGGCAGGTCGTGGCCATTTCTACCACACCAGGTGGTCAGAGGTGGCAGTGCAAGCGGCCCACATCCACTGCAGAGTGTCCTGCTTCAGTGCCTTCCTGGGCCCACCATGTCCAGAAGTCCACGCTGCCTCTCAGACTCTGGCCACCCTGAATGGCGCCCATTCAGAGGCAGCTGCCTACACAGTGGCACATAAACTCAGTGGCACCTGAGGCCCCAGGAAGTTGTTGGCAAACATATGATTATGTGTGCACCTTCTGGGAGAGAATCCAGGTCCTCTGGCAGCTCCTCACGGAGGGTCTTAACTTCCCCCACACCTGACCACTAGGCAGGAGCCAGAGACAGCCACAGGGCGCCCTTCACAGGACCCGAGCTGGGCTGGGCCGCAGCACTGAGCTCTGCCCTGTCTCCCCACAGGAGGACCGGCAGGGCACGGGCTGCGGAATTCCACATAGCACAGCTCCTGCATTGGGCCTGGAGCAGGTGGAGGGAGGTAAGGTGCTGGCACGGATGCCCCTGAGTGTGGCTTTTGGACGGGTGGAGCTGTGCGTCAGCGTGACTCAGAGCAGACATGTGGCCTCCTCAGCAGTCCCCAGGCAACCACCTGCCCTGAGCTGAGGGAGAGATGGGCAGCAGGTGAGAAAGTGTTGGCCAAATTCCTGGTTCTTTCATGAACTCACCACATCAGAACTTCCACTCTAACCATTTACAAGGTTCCTCTGAGGGTCAAAAGTGGGAGGGGAGGGACCAGCAGTTGGTGTAATGGCTATGTCACTAGACTCCCATGTAGTCAACTGCAGTTTGAGTCCCAGACCCAGAGACTTAAACTCATGCCAGGTACATGTGCATGCGTGCCCAAGATCCCAAGAGGAGAATGAAGGAGAAGGGATTGCAGTGTGGCCAATCACCCCCCAGGGGGGGGAGATTTTTCACTTTCTGCCTCTTTCTGGTGAGTGCACGTGCCCAAAGCAAAAATCTCTGCCCCTCCTCCAAAAAAAAGTGTTTAAGGGGGGTCAGCAGGTAGCATGGTGGTTAAGGGCACTGGACTCCCACATGGTCAACCATAGTTCGAGTCCTGGACCTGCTAGCTTACTTTTCACTTTCCCTCGTTCTCTCCATCACTTTGTCCTTCTCTGATCACATACATTAATAAATTAATTAAATAAAAAATAATTCTTTAAAAAAAGTGTTTAAGGAAGGGCCAGACATGGCGTAGTGGCACATGCAGCCATGTGGTCAGAGGTGCCTGGAGGTACTCCCCTGCAGGGAGGTTCCCGATTCAGGTCCAGGGACCTCCCTGAGTGCAACAGGTACCGCTTGCCCACAATCTGGGGTACAGCTGAGGGTGGACTGTGGCAACAGGACCTCATTGGGAGTACTGCTTTTTTTTCTCTCCTTCAAAGGAAAAAACAGCTTAAGCTGATGTTGAATGAGCCTTTGCCTAAGTCACACCCTTGTCTCATTTAAGCCTCACAAATAATACTTATTGATGAGGCAGCAGAGGTTCAGAGAGGCCCAGCACCGTCCCTGAGCACACACAGAGTAATAATAGGGAGGCAGAGCAGGGACCCCAGCCCATGGGTGACCAGCGGCGCTCTCTCTCTGTCTGCAGTGCCTGGCCATGCGGACGGCCGAGCGGCGGAAGCTGACGCGAGCAGACCTGCACCGCCAGCACGCCCTGCTGCACAGGGTGCTCCAGAAGTGGGTGGTAAGCGCCCCGGCTGGGCCGAAGGGGGCGGTCCTGGAGACTTGGCCTCCTTCCTTGTTCTGCCTGCTGCTTCTGGAACAGAGTAACCCGACCAGCCACCAATGGAGCAGGTGCCCCTGATGGTGGGCCTTACGCCACAAGGTTCTTGGGCCCTTGCTGCAGAGTGCAAATAAGCGTTGCCTGTGGTGCCGGCCATGGAGTGGCCCCGGTCCAGGGGCTTTGGGGTCTCATGAGGCGTCCCATTAGCAGGAGTCTTCACCCTCTTTATCTGAGGGCCCATTGCCCTTGGAACTAGGAGCTTTCAGCCTCCCCCACCCTTGTGAGTATCTGGCCATGGCAGCCCTGCTGTAAAGGCACCTCTGAGGTTGGCCTGGAATAGGGCAAAGCGGGAGCCCAGGGGTGGCCCCCAGTCCTCTTGTTTTCCACAGACATACCAGGGCAGAGTACAGAACGTCCTACAAGAGGTGGCGGCCAGGGAGAGTCGGCATGACAGGCAGCTGCTGCGGTGAGTCCCCAGGCCCAGCCAGCTGGGGAAGAGGAGCGGAGCCCTGCAGTGTGCAGAGGGGCTTTCCCTGCCATGCTGCCATGCTGCGGGGCCTCCCGCTCACCCATCCCGCTCCCCTGAGCACTTTCCTCCAAGTGTCTCGGCACCATTTCCTTTCTTCTCCTGCTCTGGGGCCTGCAGCCACCCCTTTCCTGTCAGTCTCCTCCCAGCTTGCTCTCTAGGCCTGGCACCAACCCTCAAGGGTTGTCTCTCAGCCCTCCAGGACTGTCTGCGGCTCTCACTCATGGGGGGCACCTGTGCAGCTTCAGTTCAGCTACTCCTGACCCATCGTCCCCACCTCCCAAGCCAGGCTTTGAACTCACTCCTTTTCCAGAAGGCCTCCCTCCCTCCCCTTTCTTCTTCCCTCATATCTGTTCAGCACACACTGTTCCACGTGGCCTGTGGACAGGCCTCGTGGACTTTACACACCTCCATCTCACCTCTGGAGTCCCACACGGCGCTCAGACAAGGAGAATGAGAAAGGGCCTCCCCAGCGAGGTCTGGGTGCCCTCCCTCCCACTCCCGTCTCCCCAGACTTCTTATCACTGGTGAATCACCTGTGCTGTCATTGCCTGGTTACGGCTGTGTACTCCCTGCAGCAGAAACTCCTGAGGGCAGGGCGTGTGGGTGGAGCACTGCCGAGTCCCTGGTACTGACACAGAGAGGTGCCCAGTGACCCTTTGCTAGTTGTAGACATGAGCACAAACATGGCTGTCAAAGAAACACACATTCTTAGGTTAGAAAGTTCTGGGTTCTGGGGTGAAAGGAGGACGAGGACTGACCCACAGGTGCCTCCCCATCTCTCCTGCGCCCCCATAGGGGTGTGTTACGTCGTTGGAGAGAGAATACCATGGCCCGTGTGGACGAAGCCAGGAAGATTGCCCTGGCGCATGCTCACCACAGGAGGACTGTGTGTGCCAAGGTGGGTAGGGAGGCGAGCAGGTCACCAGGAGGGTGGAGACCGTGTTCTGGTGAGGGCAGCGGTATGAAGAGACACGGAAGTCCCCGATGAGTAACTGTCTTCTAACACACACGTGCATCCCTGTGAACTGGCTTTTTTTTAATTGAATTATGCAACAGTATCTATTTAAATAAAATCACAGCATGCAGTAAGTAAACTGATTCTTATCAAAATCAGTATTTTTTTTTTCAAACTTTGTCAGAGGGTACATGTGCTCCCCACAGGAAGAAAGAAAACAAGAGAGCACCCCCATTGGGAATGGTCATGTCGCAATCCCTTCTCCTCTAACTCTACCCCCTTTCAGGTTGTTGGGCCTGCACACACGTGCACCCAGCAAGTTTTTGAAGCCACCAGGGCTGGTATTCCACTGTGCAGTCTCCCATGTGGGATCCAGACAGGTACCCCCCAGAACCAGTATTTTCTATGTAAATGGAATTTTCCACAGGGACAAACCGGGTCAATCTCTGAGCCTCAGTCTCCTCATTGTGGAAAGAGGATGTTCCTGCTTATCGACCTTGCAGGTTCCATGGCCACAGAGGCTCTCTGGAAAGCACCGAGCATCCCCAGAGTGTGAAGTCTTTGGGAAATACTCAGTGGGAAAGGACTCCAAACTTTCACCTCATTCCTTTGATGCATTGCGAGAAATGCCACATAACTGGGCTGATCCCAGGCACTGGGGATAAGGAGGGTGACAAGATGCGACTATGGGGAGAAAGCCTGTTATAAGAAAGAGGATTCAAACAAATAAAGGCTGCCCCTGTTGCCTAGTGGTTAAGAAAGCTGGATCTCACATGGTTGGACATTGGTTCAAATCCCAGCTCCCATAGTTTGAAAAACATGCCAGGTGTGTGTGCATGCCCGAAGTCCTGACTGGAGGGAGAGGGGAGGGGAAGGGACTGTGGCATGGCCACACTCACTGGAAGGTGCTTTCTCTCCCACCCCATCTCTGTCTCAGTCTGGCGTGTGTGCCCTCTCAGGCTTACAAACAGGCACACAGAAAAGTCCCAAGAGCCAGCCAGTGGCAGGGTGGTTAAGGTATTGGATCCACATGGCTGACTGTAGGTTCAAGTCCTCGACCCATCAGCTTGAAAATCATGCATGCCCCAGTCCTGACGGTGCTTTCTCACTTTCCCTCTCTCTGTCCATGGTGAGCACGTGCTCTATAACAAATTAAAAAGAGAAGAAGAGAAAGAAATTCCAGCACCAGGGATTTTGGGCTTCCCACAGGGGCCCTGGCTTTGCCCTGTCACCCTCTGGTTTGCACAGATGGAGACGCTGCCTGGATGTGGGCGAGAGCTGAACATCAACCACTCGGCCCCCTCACAGGGAGCTGCCGGCGCACACCTGGGTGTCCCAGAGCTCGGGAGTGTGGTGAGTGGTCACCTCTGTCCTTCGCCTGCCTGTAGGTCCTGGCCCGGTGGCGCGAGGCCGCGTCAGTGCAGATTTATTACCGACAGCAGGAGGGCTGTGCCATTCGGGAGGCCCGGAAGGTGCTGGACAGGGGTAAGTGGGGTCCCCAGGAGCAAGTCATGCTGAGGAGAGCTATGTGAGGGACACAGCATGGCCTTGAGGTCCTCTGCACCCCACAGTCTGCATCCCCCTCGTGTACCAGTTCCCTGGGCTGCAGTGACAAAGCACAGGTTTCCAACGACAGCAAGATACTCTCAAGGCCGAGTGTCTGAAACCGTTGTCAGCAAGCTGCACTGTCTACAGCCCAGGGGACACACCTCCCCTGCCACCACAGCTTCTGACATTGCCGGCAGCCTCTGCCTCTCCACCCGGCTTTGTCTCTCGGTCTCTTCTCGGTAGGGCACTGGTCTGGGCTAAGAGCTTGACATCATCTTAACTGCATCTGCACTGATGCTGTTTCCAGCAGAGGGTACCTGAGGTTCCAGTAAGGACATGGACTTGGAAGGTGGGAGGACACCGTTCAATCCAGCACGTCACAGATTCTGTTCCCAACTGGGTGCCAACCAGTTTATGTTGAAATGAAAGGTCCGGGCTTGAGATATTAGAGGAAGGAAGGATGAGGCGGGGACGAAGGTGTTCTAGGTGGTGACGGGAAGGTCCTTCCAGGGGCAGGTGGCCAAGCTGTCCTTAGAGATGGCCATGTGCAGAGCCAGCCCCATACCATATGGCCATGTGCTTCAAGCCTCAGCCCAGCAGAGGATGTATGTGCCCAGAATCTCAAAGACCAGAGAAACGGAAGAGAAGGGACTGTGGTGTGACCACACCCCACTGGGGAGGTGCTTTCTCCCTCTCTCTGTCTCTCTCTCTCTTGCAAGCATACGCACCCTCTGGTAAATTCAAGAGAGAGGTGGCCACGGTCCACAAGTGCTGGTCCCACCCCTCCAGCCACACAGCCTCCACTCTACAGCTTCTCTGTTAGGATTACAGTGGAAGCCCTAGGGATACGCAAGCTCTGGCTTGTCTCTGCCATAGGCCGTCTCCGGACCTGGTTTCGGCGCTGGTGGGACTGCAGCCAGAGGTTGACCCAGCAGCGGGTCCAGATGCAGAGGGCAGCCTGGCATCACCGGCGGTGGCTGCTACAGCAGGGGCTGGCCCGGTGGAAGGCACACCACCTGGGCTGTGTCAGGAAAAGGGTGAGGCAGGCGGCGGCACCTCCCACGTCACCCTGGGAAGGAGGCGTCTCCCACTAAACTCCGAGCCACTAGACTGGGTGCTCTGGGGTCCTATAGGTACAGGGCTGCAGGGGCATCTTGGCACTGAGTGGAGGCTTGGGGTAGCCAGCCTCAGAAGGGGTTCCCCCAGGAAGTGGGTTCATGCGGACCAATGGATTTCAGAGCTGGGGACCTACAGAGTCATCTAGATACCCCCTGCCTGTTTAGGAGGCCTTGGCCACACCCCGGGGGTCCTCCTGGCAACCAGAGGACAGTTCATGTGGGCCGAGAGCCTCACCTGTGGCTTCCCAAGGCAGTTGGGGTTACATGCTCGCCCTGACAGCAGTCGGACACAGCTCCCTGAGTGTTCACTGTTCCCTCAGCTCCTGCAGAGGCAAGGTGCCTGCCTCCTGGCACACAGACTCAGCCGGGCCTGCTTCCGCCAGTGGGAACGACAGGTAGGAGCCACGAGAGCCCCTTCTCCACTTCCCTCTTCTTCCAGTGGCCCCAGGGGCCCAGGCTGTGGCAGACCTTCAGCCCACACCCCCTAGTTCAGCATTTTTTAAAACAATTATTTTACTTAACTTTATTCATTTATCTTTATTTATTATTTTTAATTTGACCAGAAAGGAACAGAATCAGAGAGAGAGGTAAAGTGAGAAAGCAAGCTGCCAGGTCCAGGACTCGAACCATGGTTGGCCATGTGGGAGTCCAGCACCCTTAACTACCATGTCATCTGCTCGCCCCAGCATTTTTAAAAAAATACATTTACTTAATTGTATTTATTTATTATCATTTTTAAAATTTGCTGTAGGGTATGCACACCCATAAGAGATAGAGCAAGAGAGGGAGAAAGTAAAAAAGCAAGCTGCCAGGTCTGGGACTCGAACCATAGCCAGCTATGTGGGAATCCAGCACCCAAACCACCACACCACTTATTGGTCTCTGGTTCAGCTTTTTTTTATTTTTAATTTCTCATTTAACTTCATTTATTATTATTATTTTAATTTGAGAGAGAGAGGGAAAGCGAGAAAGCAGGCCACTGCATCTAAGATTCAAACTGGTTTGCCATGTGGGAATTCAGCACCCTTAACCACTATGCCACCTGCCAGCCCTGGCTTAGCATTTTTAATAGCACCATTTTGCCAGAGTCACCCACCTCTGTCCCCTTCAGTCATTTCCTAGCACCATCAGCTCCTGTCCATCTGCAACCTGTGTAAGGCCCATCCCTTTCATCTGCAGTGTCATATTTAAAAGTACATTGGCATCGGCATAATACTCAAAAATTAATATGAAGCACATTTTAGGTCTTTACTGAGGCCTCGATAAAAGGCATGAGGGTGATCAGCAGATGGCATGATGGTTAAGTTGCTGGACTCCCATATAGTCGGCCACGGTTTGAGTCCCGGACCCAGCGGCTTAAACTCATACCAGGCTTGTGTGCATGTGTGCCCAAAACTCCAAGAGGAGAATGGAGAAGGGCTTGCGGTATGGCCATCCCCCACCAGGGGGTGACTTCTCACTTTTCTGGCAGGTGCATGCCCCCGATAGCAAAAAACTCTTTAAAAAAAAAAAAAAGAGGGATCACGCTAAAGATGCATAGCGCAACCCTCAGGTAGCAGATCCCCTCTCCCTCCCTGAATGCAGCCAAGTGTGTCCCCAGCTCTTCCCCAGCTCCCTGAGCAGCTCCTCTGAGAGCCCAGCCATGGCCGCCACTTGCACCTGCTGAGTGCCCTTTGCCTTCCCTCTTTCCAAACAGTCATTCCTTCATCCAGATGAAGTGTCCAGCCCAGAGCTGGGAACAGGGTTGGATCCTTCCTGGTGGAGAAGGGAGAGGAGCTCCCCCAAAGAAGGATCTAGAGTGATGAGCTGGGCAGCATTAGATCAGGGCAGCCTCCTGGAAGAGGCAATGTGGGAATAATCCAGTCTTTCTGGCCCTAGCTGGTGGCCAGGCAGCAGGAGCGGCAGGCCACAGCACGGGCTCTGTGGTTCTGGTCCTTCTCATTGCAGGCTAAGGTAAGTGAGGTTTTGCCTCAGCTGCTCCTGCCTTCCAGAGATGCCCTGGGCCTCGGGTCAGGGGAGGCACCTGGCCTGAGGGTGGGTGGTGGGCAGAGCCCCTAGGGGAGCTAAGCAGGGCAAGATGGGCCTCACTGCGTGCCTCCCTGGAGGTCTGGGCTGCATGGCGGGGCTTCGTGCTGGAGAAGAGGAGAAAGAAGATGCGGCTAGTGCGGGCCCTGCAGGCTTACCAGGGGCAGCTCCTCCAGGAGGGCGCCACGCGTCTCCTGCGCTTTGCGTCTGGGGTGAAGGCTTCTCGGCAGCAGCTGCAGGCGCAGCAGCAGGCTCAGGTAGGCTTGGGGTCCCCCAGCCCTTCTGCAGAGGGTGGGCAGGGCCTGGCAGGGGCTGATGAGAGACCATGTTACAGGCAGCCCACAGTCTCCACCGTGCAGTCCACCGTTGTGCCATGCTCTGGAAACAGAAGGTGCTGGGCCCCGGCAGGGAGCTGCAGGCGCTAGCACCTAACTCACCCAGCAGGAGAGTGACATTTGAGGGTCCCTGTCTCAACCATGGTGCTGCTGGGACTGGGGATGCCACCTTGAAGACCAAGCGGCCAAGAGCTCCTCGGCCTCGGGGACCTTTGGGCAGCCTGGCCCTGGCTGCTGGGGAGCCCCAGCTCCAGGAGCTGTGAGTAGCCCACCCTGCACCTCTTCCTCCTTGCTCCTGCCTGGGGCCAAAGGTCAGACAGTAGGGAGGGTGGGTGAGATGGGCCAGGCACGGCCCATCAGAGCAGAGCTGCTCTGCTCACGCCTCGTATCCCGCCTTGGGGGAGAGAAAGGAGTGTTCCCGGACCCTTTTCAGTTTATTCATTCATTTCCTCCATGAGAGAGACAGACAGGCCGCACTCCTGGTGTTCTTCACCCCATGACCCACCCCTGCCAGACAGATCAAGGGCACATGTGTGCCTGATGTTGGTAGAGAGGCCTCGAGATGCAGACCTAGGGCTTTCATGGGCCCACTGCGGAGTGCAAGTTACCACTGTGCCACCTGCTGGCCCCCCAGACCCTATTTCTCAAACTCTCCTGCCATAGCTCTGAAAATGCATCTCCCCCTTAGTGACACCTTCCTGCCTCTCCCCAACCCACAGCCTTCAAAGTGATACCAAAGGAATGGACTGTAGGGCAGTCCCCAGGGTGCCTGTCTCCCCTCTGGCCTTAGAGCCAGAAAACAGGATCACTGTTGGAAACCCCACTTTTTGGGACCTGGCGCCTGCCCCTGTGGTCCCTGAATGGTCTCCACAAATCCCTTACCACTACTGTCCCCGCCTCCAGCCCCACCCCCACCATGCAGACCAGGGTGACCAGTGCCACCTGAGGGCCTCAGACCTCAGGGAGAGATCACAGTGGGGTGTACCAGCTTGGGACCCCACCCTTGCTCTGCCTTCACGGCCTAACACTGACAAGAGCCTTGCTCTGAGGCTGCTCCCCAGTGACACAGAAAGAGCATCCATGTCACCAGGGTTTTGTCGAGGTCAAGAGATATGACATGGTTACTTGCTGACCTTGGGCAAAAGTTTTGCCAGCTGGCTGGCTGTCTTCCTGTAAAATTGGAACAGTCAGGGGACCAGCAGTTGATGTAATGGCTATGGCACTGGACTTCTATGTAGTCGACTGTGGTTCGAGTCCCGGACCCAGTGGCTTAAACTCACGCCAGGCACATGTGTGTGCATGCCCAAGATCCCAAGAGGAGGATGGAGAAGGGATTGCTGCATGGCCATCCCCCCTGGAGATGATTTCTCGCTTTCTGTCTGTCTCTTTCTGGTGAGTGCACGTGCCCTAAAGCAAAATCCTCTCCAAAAAAAAAAAAAAATTAGAGAGGTCAGGTTAGGTGAACCTCATCCCCCAGGCCCCCGGGTTAGCCTCGAGGAATAGGACCCACCCGCGTTTCTTCCCAGCCTGGCTGCCCGCTCCGCAAGGAAGCAGCCGCGACGCCCACACTTCCTGCTGGAACCTGTGCAGAGCCAGTGGTCCCTGGGCTGTGGCACCCCTGGGAGACAAGGGTAAGTTGTGTGGGCCCCCAAAGCAGCTGGCACGCTATGTGGGGCTGTGTTCTGGTGGCCCCAGGGTGGGTGCCCCCTTTGCTTCCTGTTCCTTGGTCAACCAGGCTCTCCCTTGCCCCTGCTCAGACCTGAGAAGCAGTGGGAACATTGCCCAGGCCTGGCCCAGCAAGCAGGCCCTTTCCTGACAAGGCCCTTTCCAGCGGAGGCCCAGATGCCACTGGTCCCAAGTAGCCTCCTGCCAGATGCCTCTAGCCAGAAGCTACCCGCCTTGCCAAGGACCAGCCCAGGCCTGCTGCTGCTGCCTCCTTCTTCCTTCATGCCCCGCGGAGCAGGAGCACCAGCCAGGGTAAGTTCCATCAGCAAGCCTGGTCGTCAGGGCTGCCGTTCCTTGGTCTGGCCTTTGGTGCTGTGTCCTGCAGTCAGTGCTGCAGCCATAGCCGCACTGCCTGGCACCAGAAGATTCCATCTACAAGCCTAAGTGCCCACTGTACACCAGGCCCAAGAGACAGCAGGGAACAGCCTGACAAGGACCCTCCCCATGAAGTATATGTTCTAGTGGCAGAAATGACCAAGACAATGACGTGACTGTAGCTCACGTAGGGGCGTGCCGGCCAGGGTGAGAGGTTTGGGATTGGAGCAGAGAAGGGAAGGTGCTGATGGTTCCAGCAGGGAGCACCATGTCTGATTTCGAACATGGGATACTCCATGCAGGCTGGTGGGTGTCTGTGACCTATGTGATCCAGATAGAAGATGCCAGTGGCCTGGACCCAGATGGTGGAGGCAGGCCTTGCACCATGGATCTGGGACAGGGAAGGGAAGGGAGGAATCCAAGATGGCGCTTGGACTTGAATGATTTGGGGGTGATTTCTCTTACTCGGAGGACAACTGGGGTAAGGACTGGGGCAAGGACTTGGTTTAAGTGAAGCCGGCAGAGTCTGGTTTGAACTTGTCGGGTTTGAGAGAAAGCAAGGCCACTGAGTGGCCCTCAGGGAGGTCTAGAGAAGAGGTCTAGGCTGGAGGTCCAGACTGAGTCCTTAGCATAGCATGAAGATCCCTGGAAGCCATGAGGGCACCTGGAGTAGAGAGAGAGGGGCTCTGGCTCCTGGGACACAGGTGTCCACAGTGGGGTGATGGTGATGGCCTCGGCCAGCTAAGCAGCTGGGCTTGCCGGGGCGGGGCAGGAATGGGAAGGAGCCAGTGCCCGTGTCAGTCTGACCTGTGGGGCTACAGACAGAGGCTGAAGAGGGGCTTGGGGCTGCCCAGGGGCGGGGGGGTTGGACAGGGACAGCAATTGCAGTTGCGTCTGACCACTGTTGTCACTGAAGTCTAAGCTCAGCAAGGTCATGGGCTCAGAGCTAGGTGGGGGAGGGTGTGGCTGGAAACAGCTGCGGGGGCAGTGTCAGGCCGGCCCCTGGGGCTTTCTCTGGTGGTGTCAGGGCCTGGTCGTCCCCAACCCCTGCAGGGCATGGTGCCCTCTTCCCGAGGCTCGTCCCAGCTTCCCTGCTTAGTGCCATCCTCCCTTCCCAGGTGTCAGCACAGTCAACCGCTTCTAGGCCTAAGCTCCAGAAGCCCCCGTCCCTGGCCAGCGCCCCTGACCCCCGTCTGCTCTTCCCTGGAGACTTCACAAGCACCAGGGCTGGACTCGGCTCTAAAAGTGCAGGTGTGAGCCTGGCGCCTGTCGGGGCAGTGAGCGCTCAGGGCCCCCCTGCTCAGCCCAGTCCTGGAGGGAAAGATGGTCAAGATCAAGCTCCTGCTGCCGCTGCCACAGGCTGCTCAGACCTTGAAGCGGAGCTGGAGGGGATCCAGCGGCAACTCCAGCACTACCAGACCACCAAGCAGGACCTCCGGTGAGACCGGGAGACACCCTGGGGCCTGTCCACAGGAATAGGAGGTGCCTGGGAAGGTGGGAAGCCCCCTTCGCGAGCAGGCTGCCAGGACCCTGTGGGCGATTTCGTGGGTGGGGGCACAGAGCTGGCCAGGAGCACCCCTCTCTCCTGCTAAGGAAGACCCCAGTCTGCCTCCCCATGGAGGCCTGCTTTCAGTGGGGGAAGAGAAAGCTACACAATGGGCCATGCCAGCTCCCTGTGCTGCGGAGGCAGGCCTGTCTGTAGCAGCCTCGGAGATCTGAGGGAGACAGACCCTCATTCTCAGCTCTGCACTAGAGAAGTAGGAGCAAGAGAGCTTGCCCTTGGGCCACCCGAGTGGTGGTTTGCAGGGGAAGGTGGAGGCCAGGAGACTGCAGCTCAGGGAAGGGGTCTCCTCCCTCTCCATCTCTCCCATCAGAATTAGCTCCTGTGTTGGGACCAACAGTTAGCGTAATGGCTATGTCGCTGGACTCCCAAGTAGTCGACCACGGTTCGAGTCCCGGACCTGGTGGCTTAAACTCACGCCAGGCGCATGTGCATGTGTGCCCAAGATCCCGAGAGGAGAATGGAGGAGAAGGGATTGCAGCATGACCATCCCCTCTGGGGGGTGATTTCTCACTTTCTGTCTCTCTGTCTCTCCCTGTCTGGCGAGTGCATGCAAAAACCTCTCCAAAAAAAAAAAAAGAAAGAAAGAATTAGCTCATGTGTTTCTCCCCGAGCCGGAGGGGTGTCCATGAAGCTCTGCTGAGAATCCAGCCAGGCAGCAGGTGTCTCCCCTTCAGGTCCTACCAGCGGCAAGCAAGCAGCCTGCGCCAGTGGCTGGGGGTGGGGCGGGGGAGAGCC